TCCCAAACTCCCACGGTTTCGGGGGGGTCCCCCCCGTTTTTGTTCCGTTCGTTTCCCGCATTCCTTAAGGCTTTTTCATGGTGGAGTTCTCAGGCGAATGGGCCCAACTCTCCCACTCCCCGCACTCCCCCCACTCTCCCCACTCCTCCCACTCCACGTTCGTCACCCGTTTTGTTTTTCGTTATCCGGTCCAGACTTCCTGGTGGAGTTCTCCGCGATGACCCACTCCCTCCACTCCCCCACTTCCTCCCACTCCCCCCCACTCATCCCACTCCTCCACTCCCTTACTCCTCGCCACTCACGTTCGTCCGTTCGTTCGTTCGCTCTAGGCTTCTGGTGGAGTTTCTCGGCGAATGCATACGGGCGGTTTTTTGGGTCCGTGGGTTTGGGCGTATGGGGTGTTAAGAGATCAAAAGATGATTTTTTTTGTTTTGTTTTCTTTCTGTTATTGTTTGTTATGATTGTTGATATTACTGTTATTGTTTGTAATGTTATCTATTTTGTTATTTTTATCAGTATGATCATCATTATCATCATAAATGTTATTATCATTATCATCATCACTATCATCTTTATTATCATTATTATCATCATTATCACTGTTATCATCATTATCTTCATTAATACTATCATCATTATCATCATTATTTCTGTTATCATCATTATCATCATTATTACTGTTATCATCATTATCATCATTATTTCTGTTATCATCATTATCATCATTATTTCCGTTATCATCATTATCATCATTATTACTGGTTATCATCAATTATCAATCATTATTACTGTTATCATCATTATCATCATTATTACATATATCATGCATTATCAGCAATATTACTGTTATCATCATTATCATCATTATTTCTGTTATCATCATTATCATCATTATTTCTGTTATCATCAATATCATCAATTATCTGTTATCAATCATTTATCCTCCATTAACACTATCATCATCATCATTATTATTACTTGGTATGCATCAATTATCATAATTATCAACTGTTATCATCATTATCACTGTTATCATCATTATCTCCATTAACACTATCATCATTATCATCATTATTACTGTTATCATCATTATCATCATTATCATCATTATTACTGTTATCATCATTATCATCATTATTTCTGTTATCATCATTATCTTCATTAACACTATCATCATTATCATCATTATCACTGTTATATCAAATCATTATCATCATTATCATCACTATAATCCTGATTATTACCCCCCTCATTATTCACTAACAATTCATTCTTTCCTTTGATGTCTTTCCACTGGCTTCAAAGTACACTGCCGCCCACTTAAAATCGCAAATTGACTGCCGCCCACGATGAGGACCTC